TGTTACAGATTCTTACAAAAAAGGAATCGCTATAGAGTGAGGTTTTAGCTTTCTCATTTTTGAGAAAAAGACCAGAGGCGCCACGGCGCGAGCGCCCACTACAAAACTCAAAAGAGGTAGTTTCTTTTCAGATCAATTAAACCTAATTTGCACTTAAAGAAAAAGATTTTAAACATATTTTCTAATAGTTTTCTAATGATAATATTTTATTTGTGAGAGTTTTGACTATTATAATTTTATTTGATAAGTAAAAATGTGTTATTATCCATAGACTTTTGTACAGTGCCTAAAACTTCAGGATTAGGCGCCCTAGAGGTAATCGTATTATTATTATTATTATTATTATTATTATTATTGTTATTATTGTTATTATAGATTGGCCAACTCATGCTACAACTCAAGTTATACCAACATTGAATGCACAGTTTTGTCTCAGGGAGTCCATTTTTCCACTTATGCTGTAACAAGCTGACAAATCTTTGTAATTTCGACCCAACCATTTTCTTCATGCGTCAAAACACTAAAAGGGTGCTCCTTGTCTATGTGCCCCTAGACATTGTAGGGAAGGAGGCAGGTCAAATTAAAATTAAAAGGAGGGGGTGCTCATTAATTTCAGTTCTATTTGTGGGAGAGTCCTTGCTTTTCCAGATTCCTCAGAACTTGCGACAAATTCCTTGTATCAATGTTTAGTTTGGGTTTAAGCATTTGTAAAAATACCATGCAATATTGAAATCTTAGACCTGAGTATTTAATGCCATCCAAACAACATAACATGTAACAATGTGGTAACTGCATGTAATCACACAACCGCAAACAAGGGAAGTCAGGTTACAGACTCACCCGTTACAACTTTTGAGGGCTTAAGAATAAATATGGTAAAAAGTTCCAATTAATACAAAGTTGAAATTCTGAAAGCTGAAAGATATACATTACAAACATCAAACCCTACGCATCCATGGCAAAATATTATCATTTATATTTATATATTATATAAATTAATACTCCAGTCTAAGTGCTCTTGTGAAGAATTATTTGCCACCACCAGGCAGCGCCTCGTGGTTTACATACTTTCCTCATGTCCTCGCAACATTCAGGCACGGTTTATCAGCCAGTAAACCGATAGAAAGTGTACTTTATTGCTTAATTATCTAACAGGTCATTTTCTTGTCCATGTTGCTCTCTCCGGAGAGAAAATGCATTAATTAACTCCAAACCAAAGTAGTCACGGTACGGACATAATGATCAATGCTACAGTGAATACCACTAAAACCTCATTACCTATAAAAAAAATGAAAGAGAGAGTAAAAATCTTTTGTGTTCTTTTTCTTGTCTTGTACATCTATCATGACTGATAAATGATACAGAGGGTTTCTGTTTACTAAGACTCAACCACCCTTACCGAGAGAAGTAACAACACAAGTTCTAACGCATGTCTTCGAACCTTGCCACTGGAGGGTGGAGAATGTGAACCATGCCTGTAAAGGGTGGGGAATTTAAGCCTTACATGGGAATTTGAATTAGAAATGTCAAGTCTTTCCAGTAGAATACAAGTGTTATATTTCTTAATGCAGAGGCGTTTAAATGTAATTTTAAAGACTTCACTTTTGCATTTGAATGGCTGATGGGGAAAGATATGCAAGGTCTAGGTTTTAAAGCTTCGTCAGTGGTGGCTGATCTTGCCTTTTACGACAAAATTAACCATCAAATCTGGCACTCGGGTAGGGCACTTGAGCACAATTTATGTCTCGAGAGAAAGAATTTGAACAAATCGATATTCAAAAGTTCAAATGCCAGGAGTTTCCGGGGGGGGAGGGGGAAGGGAGACATCAAAGCTTCATATTGATCAACCCATTACACTTACAAATAGATCTATTCCAAACTTAAAATTGTAGCAAAGTAAACTACTCCAACGCACACAAATATTAAATGACGAGTGCAAAAAAACAACAATAACAACAACAGCAATAACTGGCTGGCTTGATTCTTACAGGTTTTTAACGAAAAACAATTACAAATGCTCGGAACACCTCAACTTGCCTTGAGTTTAAAATTATTCAATAAAAATCCAAATAATTCAATAATTTAATTCAACTTTACTTAACCAACAAACATAATTTTACATTGAACTCTTACCTCTGACTGGTGGCTTTTCAGATATTCTTTGAACACCCGGAGACACAGTGCTCACCCCAGATGGTATCGTGACTGCCCCAAAAAAGAAAGAAATTGAAACATTCATGGAAAAAATGTAACAATTCTAAGGTTCAAAATCAATTTTACAGCTGTTTACTAGTCTTAAGAAGGGACTTCGAGCATTGACATATCTCTCAATTGAGAGATATGTCAATGAAAGTGATATGCTCGTAGATCTGAATCTTAATTTTCTTTGTTGGATCGTCTGCATGATGTACGCAAGTCAAGTGGACAATCTAGCCGGAGCTTATCCCTATTTCATACACTGTAGCATGAAGCCATTAAGGAGTATAACAGCATAACTACTCCGCCCCTAGGTGAGGTGCCAGCTTACCCTCTAGCATTTCATTAGGCTTCCCTGACAATTTTCTGTTCCTCATTCATACTACCGGGTGGAGACAGTGGGTACTGTGTGAGTTTTGTGTATTGGCCAAAAACGCAACACAATTACGCGGCCAAACGTGAACCTCTCAGCCCGGAGTTCAGCTCACTAACCATTTTAGGCACTGGTAATTTGCGCTCACTTGTTTTTAGTTTCTCCTTGAATATCTTTTTTACAGGCTTTGGCAGTAGAGAATAGTTCGATCTTCTTCATTGCTACAGCTTTCTCGCATAAATCAAGCATTTCTGCTTTTTTCTTTTTGTACATATTTTGTATTATGAGTTTATCTTTTCATACTCTAATTTCCTATCAGCTCACTGTTTGGACTATATGAGTTTACTCATAGGTTTTATAATCGATACTAACCGGAATAACTGCTCTTTACCCTGGGAGTTGATGTCTCATCATTTGTTATTTTTACGGTTGGTCTTTCTAAGAGAAGGCAAGAAAAGCAGAAGGCAAAGATTATTGACAAGTTCAAGTTAGCTGATCGGAAATTTACCAGGAGAAACTGATTTTAAAACATCCCATAGATGAGAAAAAAAATTTGTCGGCCTAACTAGTAAATTCGAAGGGTCAGTGCATTGGGAGCAGCTCAAAAGTATCACGAGTTAAGTTGAGCAAATAATCATCATCAAATATCATTGAATGACCAAATTAA